TATACTTTGGACATGTTGCAAGGAAAGACCAATCCTTGGAGAGGGTGAAGGGACAGTTTAAGATAGGAAGACCCTCAATGAAATGGATTGACTCAGTGACTAGGGTAATGGGGGTAGGTGTGTTAGAGATGGTGAGGTAGATTCAGGATGGAGTAGTGTTCTGAGCTTTTGTTCATGGGGTCACTATGAGTCATAAATGACTTGACAGCACTTAACTACAACAACAAACATTTTGTGATATGACATCCTTTAAATTGGCAGCACCATGATAGATGGAGAAGAGATTGAGATTATTAACAATTACAGCTTGCTTGGCTCCACAATCAACAGCAATACAGGACCAACAATTAGGAAATAAAAAGATGAATTGCACTGGGAAAATCTACTGTCAGGGACCTCTCCAGAGTACTGAGAAGCATTGATGTCAGTCTAGAGACTAAGGTGCACCTGACCCAGGCACGGTCTTTTCAGTTACTTGCTATGCACCAGAGAGCTGGACAGTGACTAAGGATGACAGAAGAATTGATGCCTTGAAATTACGATGCTGGAGAAGACTCTTGAACATATCACGGACTAGCAAGAAAACAAATAGGACTATTTTGGAGAGAGTGAAACCAAGTTTCCCTTGGAGGCTGGGATTTTGAAGCTGTGTCTCACATACTTTGGCAGTATGTGAGTAGCTAGAAGGGACCAGTCTTTGGAGAAGGATATCATGTTTATAAGGATAGAGGGACAGCACAGGAGAGGAAGACCCCAGGTGAGATGCATTGATACAGTAACTGGGGTAACAGGGTATGTCAGAGGTAGTGAGACTGGCTCAGGACAGGGCAGGCTTCAGAGCTGTTGTACATAGGATCACTATGAGTTGCAGGAAACTGATGGCACATAACAACAAAACCAACATTGACTTTTAATCTCAGTTCCACTTTTTCTTAGCATAACGAAGCAAGATCAGAAAGATTCTGATAGAAGATACAAGAGTTCCCCACCTGTCTCAGCCCTGTTTTTCCTGACTAGGAGTTAATGCCTTTAAATTTCTTCTGGTTGGTAATTTTGATATTTGCAATAGTGTGTGGTAGGCCCTGCATGGTGCAAGGATGAATATGTTTAGCCACTAAGTAAAAGTGTCAAGATTCATCTACCCATTGGCACCTCAGGAGAAAGGAGATCTGCTTCTGAAAAACCAGGCAGTAAGAACCCCGTGGAGCCGCTTCTACTCTCCTGGTTCAAACAGTGAGGCCACCATGCATCAGTATCCATTAGCTACTGGTTTACGGGGGGTTATGACATACTTGCATCATGTCTTTCTGACTGTTGATGCGGCTATTACCTATTGACGTCCTGGTATGGAAGATGAGGAGTAAATTGTTCCACCACCACTGCACTTGATCGCCAGTACACACCCTTCCCACCTCTTGTTCTGTTATCCTCTCAGCAAAGTGATATGGTAAACTGTTTGTCAGGCTTTGTTGTCCTTTACTCTCTTTTAGGAAAGAAGTTTCTGCAAGATGTTTATTAATGAATTCGTAGTAGTGTATGCATATGCTTTGCAAATTTATTGAGCTATAAATTACAACCTTAAAGGCCAGTGAGTTTTGACATATCTATGTAACCATGTTATGCATCAGAGAGTTGTACAATGACCAAGGACAGGAGAATTGATGCCTTTGAGCTGTGGTGCTGGAGAAGACTATTGAGAATACCATGGACTGCTAGGAAAACAAACAGATTCATCCCGGAAAGGTTTAAACCGGGTGGCTCCTTGGAGGCAAGGATTCTGAGGCTCCGTCTAACATACTTTGGACATGTTGTGAGGAGAGACTGGTCCTTAGAGAGGGACATCATGGCTTGGGAGGGTGGAGGGACAGTGCAGGAGGGGAAGGCCCTCTATGAGGTGGATTGATTCAGTGACTGGGATAATCGAGATGGGAGTGTCAGGGACGGTGCGATTGGCACAGGACAGAGCAGAGTTTAGGGCTGTTGTACATAGGGTCGCTATGAGTCGCAAGTGACTGGATGGCACATAACAGCAACAACAACAACAACATTGTAACCATGTAACCACACCCACAGTGACACTAAAAAATGTAAAGATAATCCCCCCTTGAATTATTCAGTACCTTCCACTCCACACCCCAGATAACCACAGTGCCAGTTCTGATTCCCATTCATTATTACTCCTAATTCCCTAGAACTTCATAGAAATGGAATCTTATATAATTCATCTGCCTTCCTTCACTCAGGATAATTTTGAAATACATTTTCATTGTTGTATGTGTCTGTAGTTCATTCCTCTTGGTGGTGAAATGGTATTCCATATAAATACACTCCCTTGCTAAAGGTCATTTAGGATGTTTTGGACTTGAACTAGTAGTATGAATGGTGCTGAGATGAGCATTGTTGTAAATGTGGGTATGAGGTGTAAGTTTTTGTAGTCACTGTATGTGAATTTAGTAGCCCAGTGGTGGGGATCTGGTGATTGAAATCCACCAGCTGCTTTCTGGGAGGAAGTCTCCTCAGCTATGGCCCAGTTCTGACTTGATGATACATAATAACCACCAGTGATTTAAGTTTTTCATAGTCTGTTGTATGCCATCCAATCACCTAGGACTGACTCATAGTGACCCTATGCACAACACCTCTGAGTTCTGTCCTATCCTGAGGCAATCTCACTGACTCCAACACACCCATCCCAATTACCCCAGGTACTGTGTCAGTCCATCTCTTCTTCCTCTACTGCACTGTCCTTCCACCCTTCCAAGTATGATGTCCTTCTCCAAGGACTAGTCCCTCCTGGAAAAATGCCCAAATACGTGAGACAGATCCTCAGAAATACTTGCCTCCAAGGAGAAACTTGATTTCATCCTCTCCAGGACAGATCTATTTGTTTCCTTGGAGGTCCATGGTATGTTCAAGACTCTTTTTCTAGCACCACAGCTCAAATGCATCTATTTTTCTTAGTATATTCCTTTTCCACATCAAGAAGACCAAACATCAAGGAGGCGAGGGTTTTTTGTTGTTGCTCTAATGTGTATTTTCTCAAAATAACTAGGGCAGATCTTTGAGGAAGTAGCCACTTGGTTCTGTGGGTATATCTAAACTCTGGTCTTTCCATATGATCACACATTGCATTATCTTTAATGATCTAGAGGGAAATAAGTTCTGGTGGACATACTGGTAAGGAAGCTTTGTCATTCAGGTGAGATGTTACAAGATATTTTTGCATCCAGTATAAAAGTTATTGTCTCAGGAATATTATTTTAAATACTATTGTTCAACTGAGGCTAATTCCTATGAAATCTCATAGCTTGTTACTGACAAAATTAAGAATCAGCTGTTTTGGTTTTGGAGTTTTGTTTGAGACTAGTGTAGTGGATGTTTATAAACATTGAACGTAAATATGATGCTTATTATTAATAAAGTAGAATTTTAAAAAAGCATTTTTTGGAAGGATTCACTTGAAGAAGTCGTTTGATGGTTTATAATCTTTGGATTGCCTCATTTTCTAAAATTCCAATGTTTTGTTCTTTCCCCCCTCTGATCTAGTCAAAGAAAGTAGAAATAGAGTGTTATTGATTTTCTTATATAATATGATACATAAAAATAGTAACAAAGCCTTAGCTGCTTCATTTAGAAACAGCCTTTTCCTTTTGAAAAGTATGAATTGTCATTTTCTAATTCTTAAGCTAAGGTAAAAATAGGATTTTTTTTTGGTATCCTTTTTTTTAAAAAAAAAAATTAGCATGAAAGAATTTGGAAAGCAATTTCTCCTAAAACTGGAAAATAAGTATTGTTTTCCTATTTTCTCCCTCCAGCAGCGTTTACTTCCTCTTGGCAGTTTAGGAGAATTTATCAATGTGATAATTTTGTTCTTCGAGATGCCCACAAAGTGCTTTGTTTTCCATGTTCCTACAAGGTGCTATTATAGAGCCTGCACTGCTTTTCCTACTGGAGTCTCAAAGTATGGAGGGTTAGAGTTCCTAGTGTCCCAGTGGGGGCTTTCCTGCATAGAAACATAACTGTGTTTTGGTTTGTTTGCTTTGTTTTCTTTTTTAAGATCACAGCAGTTGCCATGGAGTTGACTCTGCCTCATGGTGACCCTATGTGCATGAGGGTAGATCTGTGTTAGATAGAGTTTTTCAATGATTGATTTTTCAGAAATAACTACCAAGTACTAAGTATATAATCTATTTAGATGCCTCTAGGTATACTTGAACCGCCAGCCTTTTAGTTCATTACCAAGCATGTTAACTGTTTATACCACCCAGAGAATCCAAAGCTACTTCATTAGAATATTTCGTTTTGTATAAGCATTATATTTTAAAATATATATTCTTGTTTACATCCACAGACAACTAGACTTTCTGGTAGATGTTTGTTGCTGTTGTTGTTGTTAAGTGTTTTTGCGTGAGTATAACTCATAGCAACCTATTCAGAACAGTAGACCTGAACCCCGTCCTATCTTGTGCTATCCTCATAATTTCTGACATACTTGAACCCATTACTTCAGTCACTGTGTTAATCCATCTGCTTGAGGGTCTTCCTCTCTTTTGCTGACCCTTCACCTTTCCAAGCATGATGTTCCAAATAATAGCCTCTCCTAACAACATGTCCCAAGTATGTGCTTTATCATCTTTGCCTCCAAAGAGCACTCTGACTGTATCCTCTCCAAGAAGTACCTCTTTGTTCTTTTTTCAGTCCATTGCATATTCAGTACTCTTATTCAGCACCACAGTCAAATACATCACTTGTTCTTCTGTCAGCCTTATTGATTATGCAACTCTCAGATGCATAGCAAGTGATACATGTAAATGTAGGCTGTTAAAATGGTCAAAGTGCATGTGAACAGGACTGATTGAATGGTGCTCTGCTTAGCTAGCTTCTCTCCAGCCCTCCTATGACAACCCCCTTCTTCTCTACCCATATCTTAGGGAATAGCCCACATTTTTTGATAACCTTCTTATAAATGCATAATCTGTATTTCCTTTCCCCAATTACAGGTAGATGCACTGAGATTGCGGTTGGAAGAGAAAGAATCTTTTCTTAATAAGAAGACGAAACAGCTGCAGGATCTCACAGAAGAGAAGGGGACATTGGCGGGAGAGATTCGTGACATGAAAGATATGTTAGAAGTAAAGGAAAGGAAAATCAACGTTCTTCAGAAAAAGGTAAATGGCTGGCATAAGCCCTTCAGGCTGGGAATTGGAAAGAGCCAAGAAGTATAAACTCACTTCAAGATCTTCAATATGTTATCATTTTAGAGGAATTTTTGTATGGAGGGTAAAATGATAAATTAGTAAGGATTTTAGATTAGGAAATATTACCTTTTAACTAACTTACAGTTAGCATGGCCTGATAAATTATCATTTGATTACCTAGAAACTACATACCTTGTTTGCTTACCAGCCTGTAACATGAAGGTAATTTACAAACTGAGTGTAAGCCTCAAATAATTAGAAAAATTTATAGTCATTTAATGCTTTCATTTTCCTTATTAAGAGTTGAAGAACGTGTTTTATGAGACTTAGATATGTTTTATACACTTTTATTTAAATGAACTTTAGTAAATGCTATACTTCCAAACCTGAGGGATTTTTTTTTAATGGAGGGAGGCGGATTAATTTAAACAAATTTATCATTTGAAATTAAGGACAGACTATGAATAAGCTCCAAGAGAACTGGAGTAAAAAAGGAGATTCTTGATCTGGTATTATTAGTTGAAATGTATCATCCCAAAATCTGTGTTGGATTCCTTGCCCTTATGCCTGTGAATAGCCCATGGACTTCCAGAAGAACAAACAGGTAAGTCCTGGAAAAAGTGCCACCAGAGTTGGCCATTGGAGGCAAAGATGGCAAAACTTCATCTCCTATACTTTGGAGATGCAAGGCTTTCCTTGGAAAGGGATATCATGCTTGGAAAGATGGAGCGTCAGCAAAGGAGAGGAAGACCTCAATGAGATGGATTGACACAGTGACTTTAGCGGTGGGCTATAGTGTATCAGGGATGATGATGATGATGGCACAGGATAGGGCAGGTTTCAGGCCATCTGTTCATTGAGTCATTCTGAGTTGTAGTCAGCTCTATAGAACTTAACAATACCTGTGAAAAGGGAGTTCTAGGAGTCTAGTAGTAAGAAGTTGTACTGCCAACCCGAAGACACATGGTTCAAATCTACCAGCTGCTCCAATGAGAGAAAGATAGGCAGTCTCCTCCTGTGCAATTAATTGCCTCTGAAAACCTGATAAGAGTTGGTCAGCTCTGGGTCAGTTCTGACTTGATGGTATCTAGTATACCTGTGAATGAAATCCTCTCTGGAAATGCATTCCTTGTGTTTTGTCAGTGAGATGATACCAGCGTAAGATGGGTTCTGAACCTAATTAGTCTTAAGTTTTGAAAAGAGCAAAATACAGAAACATATACATGAAGAAAACAGACAGTAAAGAACAGGACAGACATCAGAAAGAGAAAGACATGGAGGAATTCAGCACAGGTGACACTCTGACGGCACATAGCAATGTCGTCTTTGCCTCCAAGGAGCACATTGGCTTCACTTTGCCCAAGACACATGTTTCCCCTTTTTGCAGTTCACAGGCTATCAGTACTGTTCTCCAGCACCACAACTCAAAGGCATCAGTTCTTCTTCAGCCATTCTTATTCATGCCCAGTTCTCTGATGCATAGCAGGTGATTGAGAAGATCATGACCTGAATCAGGTGCACCTTAGTCATCAAATTGACATGATTGTTCTTCATCATTTTGGAGAAGTTCCTGACATTAGGTTTGTCTAGTGCACTACATCTCCTGATTTTCTGACTGCTGGGACAAAGGATGTTGATGATTGATCCAAGGAATATTAAACCACTGACAGCTTCCTTTCGCCATCTATCATAACATTGACTTTGGTCCTGTGGTGAGGATCTTGGTTTTCTTGATGCTGTGATGGAATTCAAACTGAAGGCTGTAGTCTTTGGTCTTCTGTAGCAAGCATTTCATATTTTCCTCACTTTAAGCAAGCAAAGTTGTATCATCTGCATAATTCAGGTTGTTGATGAGTCTTCCTTCAATCCTGATGCAACCCTGTGAGGCAGTTCTACTCTGTCCTATCGCATCACTGTGAGTTGTAGTTAACTCATGTCAGTAGATTTAGTTTAATGTGGCTACTGTGTTGTCAGGTGCCATTGAGTTGAGTGTGATTCAAAGTGACCCTGTGAACAACAAACCCTAACCTTGTCCTGTCTTTCATCATCATTATCATCCCCTGTACACTCGAGCCCATTGCTACACTTACTGTATCAACCCATCTCATTGAGGGTCTTCTTCTCTTTCACTGGTCCTCCACCTTTCCAAGAATGATATCCTTTCCCAAAGAATAGCATCTTCTAACAAAATGTCTAAACTTCATTCACCCTTCTTGCATCTAAGGAGCACTTTGGTTACATCTGTTATTTGTCAGTCCATTCAGGACTCTTCTCCAGCACCACAGTGAAAGACATTGATAGTCCTCAGGCATCCTTATTCATTGTCTAGCTCTCAGATGCGTAGTAGGTGATTAGAAAACCATGGCTTGAATCAGGCACACTTTAGTCTTTAAACTTACGTCATTGTGCTTCAGGACTTTGGAGAGGTTCCTAAAAGGCAGAGTTTTCTAGTACATCTCATGATCTCCTGACTGCTAGTACCAAGGTTGTTGATTGCAGAACCAAGTAAGATGAAATCATTAACAATTTCAATCCTTTTTCCATCTATCACTATCATATTTTTGCCTTTTGGCCCAGTGGTGAGGATTTTCCCCCCCTGGATGTTGATATGTCATCTATATAGAAGGCTACTGTCCTTGACTAGCAAATGTCTCAAGCCTTTCTCATGTTCAGCAAGTAAAGTTGTTTCATAACAGAGGCTATTGGATGAATCTTCCTTCAATCTTGATACCTCATTTTTCTTCATGAAGTCCAGCTTCTGAAATGATTTGCCCATCATACAGATTAAAGAGGTATGAAAAACAGATTCAGCCCTGACACACACTTCCTTGATTTTAAACCGTGTCATTTGAAAGTTCTCTTGCACTGTTTGGACAACAGTTTCTTAGTCTAAGTACAGGTTTCTCATGAGCATATTTAAGTATTCTGAAATTCCCATTTTCTCAGTGCTACCTAGTTTGTTATGATCTGCACAATCAAATTCCATTGCATAGTCAATTACAAAATTTTAAGCTGCCTCCATGCACTGTTTCTTTTGTATTGTGCCGTTTGTAGCATTCACCTGGCGTTTTCCCTTCCCTCTTTCAAGTCTCTGCCAAATGGAACTTGACAGGTCATCTTTGCTTAACTTGAATAAAATGAAATCACCACCTCTATGTCCATAATCTGCTTTCTAAGTTGCACTTATCATTTGTCACATGTGTATCTTTAAAGCTTTGTTCCTTCATATAGAAATTCCAGAAAGTTTGGAGCCTTATGTTTTCCTCCACTATTAGATCTTCCGCACTCAGAAGGTCATGGTGATGTTGTGAATCACTGTCCTAAATGATGTTATATGTAACAAAAAAAGTGTTGCCTGGCCCCATTGGGGAATACTTTTTTTTCTGCACATAAGGTCATTTACGACAGTGAGTTACAACATCACCATGACCTTTAGGATTGGAGGTAGACTCATCAACAAACACTCTGTGTTATACAGATGATACAATCCTGCTTGTTGAAACTGAGGAATACCTGAAGCAATCGCTGCAGAAGGTCAATGATGGCAACCTTCAATACGAATTGAAGTTCAATATCAAAGAAAACAAAGATTCTCACCACTAGGCTGATTGGCAGCATCATGATAAATGGTGAAGAGATTGAGATTGCTAACAGCTTCGGTTTGCTTGGCTCTTGGTACCAGCAGCCAGGAAATTAAAAGACAAATTGCACTGGGAAAGTCTGCTGTTAGCAACCTCTCCAAAGTACTGCAGAGCAACTATGTCAGTCTTGGGACTAAAGTGCACCTGATAAGGCCATGGTCTTTGCAATTACTTGCTATGCATCAAAATAGGGATATATATTATGGTTCATTTTGATAACAGCATAATGATCTCATTTGTTTAAATCATGTAGAGAATATATTTGGAAAAAGGTATCATATATATTTGAAGAGGTTACTGAGCATCACATATTTTCACCAAATGTTTTCCAAAACATGTTGAGATATGATTAATCCACTGGAAATATGGTGAAGGGATTGGAGCTCTGTTGTAGCTGCAAAGTGGAAAAAAATTTTCTCTAACAAAGTGATTTCAGAAAGAGTAAAAATGTTGTACAACTAACACAGAAACTAATGGGCAAGTGAAACATGTATTGGAATGCTGGGGATTCCTTAGAGTTTTTAACCACATTCAACATAATTGGGTGATTTAGATCAGGTCTGGGATGGAAAAGCATAAGCTTTGCATTAGGATGTGTTGGCATGGAAGAATAATAAACTCATGTCAATGTCAGAGGTAAAGTATTACTTAATATTTCTTTCTCCTTGACTCATTGGCAACCAGCACTTTGCTTTGATGCCAGTAGAAATGGGTAAACTCCTCTCATAGGCATGTTTAACCTGGTGAGGTTGGGCTTGCACCCCATTTCTGTCAGCTCTGCCTTCAGAGCCGTGGATTCCAGAAGACTTGTGTGAATTACATGGAACAGGTCATGTACCTGGGCAGCAGGCATGGGTAAAATGCTATATGCATTTTGTCATTTAAGGAAGAAAGTGAAGCTGAATACATAGAGGACCACAGGAGACAAAGTATCTTTCATGAGTTTTTGCAGGAAGACAGAAGTCGAAGAGAATGAACTTTTGCTCTTCTCCATAATCCTAAAATATGAAGTAGGTTTTTGTTTTGTTTCGTTTCTTAGACTAGGAGACAAAAATGCACACACATGAAAATCATCCGATGCAGTATCTCTCTTCCACTGTGATATTGAAGTCCATTTTCATGCTGAAGCCAGAAGGTTTCTGTTCCAATACCTGACTTCAAACTTAGCTGATGAAGTGCTACCTGACTTTTTGAGTTTTTGTAGGAAATGTCATAAAACCTTGATGACATTGTACATTTGGAAAGCATATAATGCCCAGATTTTTAGGAAATAGTAGCATTCTTTGAACAGGATCAATTTCAGGCTGTTTGTGCAACTCATAGATTCTT